TACTTACTTACTTACTTACTTACTTACTCACTCACTCACTCACTCACTCACTCACTTACTTACTCACTCACTCACTCACTCACTTACTTACTTACTCACTTACTTACTTACTTACTTACTTACTTACTTACTTACTTACTCACTCACTTACTTACTCACTCACTTACTTACTCACTCACTTACTTACTCACTCACTCACTCACTTACTCACTCAATTACTTACTTACTTACTTACTTACTTACTTACTTACTCACTCACTTACTTACTCACTCACTTACTTACTTACTCACTCACTCACTCACTTACTTACTCACTCACTTACTTACTCACTCACTTACTTACTTCCGTACTTACTTACTCACTCACTTACTTACTTACTTCCGTACTTACTCACTTACTCACTTACTCACTTACTCACTTACTTACTTACTTACTTCCGTACTCACTTACTTACTTACTCACTTATTTACTTCCGTACTTACTTACTTACTCACTCATTTACTTACTTACTAAATAAGTACATATAACCCCAATACATGATACTGTACTTTCCCCCTTCACTTAAATTGAATGCCTTTTTGGCCTACTCTTAAAATCGTGTTTATTGTGTATCTTCAGATTTGGATAACACAAGTTGATGTGTCATAACCACAACAGCCACCATGCCCAGTGAAGATAAGCCGCCGCCACAGACCCGCCACAGGAAGAAGAACAAGAAGTCCCGCTCCAAGGGAAAGAGTCCTGGTGGTGGGAGTCCCATCGCCCACCTCGGAGACTCCTCGGAGGCACAAGATGACCTCTTACTACCCCCAGCCTTTCAGTTCTCTCCTAAAAAGGTGGCAGAGAAGAGACCTAAAGTGTCTGTTGCCAAAGTGGAGGAGGAGTCATCTGTGGCGATCTGTCTTCAGGTGCTTTTCCCCTACCTGCTGGCTGGGATGGGCATGGTGATGGCCGGCATGGTGCTGGACAACGTACAGGTGAGTTCACCGACATTCATATACAGGGGGCATCAAAAAAAGGAAACCCAACTTAACATTGTCACTGTGGCAAAACTATACATATTACAGCAGGAAGCGCAGTGAAATGGCTCACTTTTCAAGTCCGTGAAATTAACCTGGTTGATGCCAACTGTGTGTCGAGAGGGGAGGGGGACATGAGGAAGGCATTGGACAGTGAAGAAAGTGACACATGTTTTGAAAATGTCCTGAATGCACAAAAAAGAATAAAATTCATGAGAAAAAGAGTGTTCTTTGTGTTGCATATCAGAGTGAGCCACCTCCAAAAAGTCACCCATATTTCAACACGATGCTTAGTTGTGCCTAACTGGAAATTCATTAACGAAGTATCATCAGAAAGCATTTGTTGAAACTATGCTTCCTGCTGTAATATGTATAGTTTTGCCACGGTGACAATGTTAAGTTGGGTTTCCTGTTGTTTATATATATTTTTTGATACACCCTGTATTTGTTACTCAACTTTTCAATCCTGCAGGCTTTAATGTCAAAATGATCAAATTTGTCAGTGAAACACGCAATTGATTTGCCTGTTTTTAAATTGAAATACGCACACAGGCATTTTAAACGTGTGCATATTCACTTGTACAAAGACATAAACCAGGGCTATTTAACTAAACTGATCCGGGGGCCACAGTTACTGCAGGTCAACAGCTCAGGGGCCGAACATCCAGCAATTAAAGTCATTATGTAAATAAACTAAGTATTACAAAGATCTGTTGCCTTTGAAATAGTTTATTTTGCTGCATTTGATCATGAATACAACATACAGAACCCTATGTAACAAAAGTAGTGAGAATAAAACAACAACAAAAATAACACATTATCCCTCTTATTTACCACAAATAATATTTTGACATCTCTGACTTGCCAAATTTTTAAACCAATTTTTTTCACTTTCATAGTTTTATCTTCAACTGCTTGTAGTTTTTACTCGGCGTTCATTGAAATGGTTTTCTCAGTTTGTAGCCAGGATTCAGACGTTTCTGCACATGCAACACACGTCTATGTCCAACTAAAAGAACTTAGAGTAATTAAAGTAGAAAAACCGGGGAATTGGGCTTAAAAGATGAACGAACCAATCGGCGGGCCGAACTTTGCCGCCAGTTGAACAGCCCCGACATAAAAGAAGCAACCCTGAACACTTATATCAGAAAAAGAAGGCATCTTATAATAAACTTTTGTTTTTAATAATATGTTTCTCTGAAAACAAATTAACATATTTAATAGATTGCAAAGAAAATTCACACTGACGTGGATAAAAATGATCAGATGCTGTTTTAGACTGTTGGGAGAAAACAAAAACAGCTTTAAGTTTATGTAGGATAGGGCTTTAATTTAATTCAACAAATGGCTCTGCAGTAAATTTGTTTCAGTGTCGCCAAAACTCACTTATCTCTTTGCAGAAACTCATCTTTTCTACCTTTTCACACCTCGAGGCTCTGATACTCATCATAGAGACAACATAAAACAAGTTTTAAATGAGATTTTCTTGATTTATTTCTCAGTTTTTATTAGTCTGTTATAAAAAGAAATTTTTTTTGTTAACCAACATAAAATTTCATTTGATGACTGTTAAATCATCCAGCTTGAACCAAACAGAGCTGATATAAAACGGCTTCAGTGAGACAGCGTGCACTGATGAAGCAGTAGGGGAGTAAAGTGCAGCGCGGTCTTTTCTGATATATGAGCTGTTCTTTTCCAGGCATCGCTGTAACTTTGTTAATACTTCTGCTTCTACAGTTTCTCTCCACTCTTATCTCTACGCCTTCATCGCAGAATGGAAAAGCACAACTAGAAAACCGCTGACGTAATTACAAGCAAATAGCTAATGCCAAACTGCTAAAGAAACACAATATAATGATTCAGCTACACCAATTCACCGGTCATCAATACCTTTTTTGACGTACTGAGCTGCATTGGTGAAACATCACAAAGAGGTTACGACACATTACGACTCAAACGTAAGCGAAATATGTTAACTCTTCTTTTTATAAATTTTAAGATAACATCCTATTAAAGCTTTCATTTTCTTTTTATAACCTGCACATTGGCTGTGTCCAAATTCAGGGGCTGCATCCTCAGAAGGCTGAATTTGCGACTGTAGATTTTTTTTCCTGCTCATAATGGCGGACGAAGCGAGGGAAAGGAGTACAGTTTTAAATAAAAATCTGTCCGTATAAAAATTAAAAGTTTCAAGCCGCGTTTTGTTGTTAATGCTTTTATCATTTGTAGACATATTTTTATATTATTCTTGTCAGAAATCAAATGAGCTGATATGGAGAAATAAACGTGCACCTGTGGCCGGTCCGTTAGTTTTTCAAATATTACATTTTAAGCTAATTTTGTTGTTTTATAATGTTTATAATACTAATATAGTGACGTTTTGCTAATTTCTGTAAGGGTGGGAATAAAGCAGAAGGCTAGGCCGTCCAAATTCACAGCCACTTTTTTCCCTATCTCCACGGTCGATCAAGGACCCGGCCCACCTAGACCGGGTAGGCCGGGTCCTTTTGAAGGACCCAACACCTGAATTTGGACACAGCAATTATGTCACCCTCTCATTCTTTACACAAATAGGAAAAATCACAGACTTCATGATTGTAAAGGTAAATAATTCTTTGATTTCAAATGTGACCCATCACATCGAAACGAGGATTAAATTTAAAAGTGATTTGTGGAGAAATAGGCAGATGTAGTGTTTTGATTAAAACAGTTGCAAAAATTGCATTTTGTCAAAATATAACAATTAAATGTGTTATCAATGTATCATTTGAATGAACTGTTTGAAATATAATCCTAAAACCATTTTTTGATGCACTTCTTTGAGCAGTAGCAGCGAAAATCACGATTTTGAGGAAAAACGCCTTAAAACTTTATATTTTCCCTGTGTCAAAGCTTTTGTTTCTTTCTAGCTGGGAAATCTCAGTACTCAAATTCTATTTGAGGTTTCTTCTTTAAAATTCCATAAATTCTCATTAAAATTACATAAATTAGGATTCAGACCAAATATTTATGTTATCATAACCAACAAGATCAATTAAATCATATCTCCAGATCCACTTATGATATCAGGATGATCTAAGTATCAAAATGTAGCTTTTAAAGCTAGGAATCGGAAAATGTGATTGAGTCATTTTAACCAAATTTGACTTAATCCTTGTTTTGGTGTGATGGGTCACAAATATTAGTGTTTAATAACCTGCCGGTCACAATCTGTGGTGAGAATATTTGCAGTTTAATAATGAACATCTGTGTTTGTTTCCGTGCAAAAAAATAAAAATGTATGTGTGTTTTCTTTAAATTGATGTAGACAGGGTGCGTGCGTGTGTGTGTGTGTGTGTGTG